AACCGATAAACCCTATCCCCGAGCCATGTACCCAAACAAAATCCTAGATGTCCTTCTTCAGTTTCGTTGGATTAACTATGGCAAAAGGTGGTTGACCTTGGAAACACAACACATTTTGTACAGCCGCAAGCCCTCGACCCCAGATTTTTTCAAAGTTACAAAATACGAGAACCGCTGGGCTGTGAGAACCACGCCGGGCCTTAACTGACACCAGGACGTAGGCCTGGCGACTGGCGCCTTCTTTCGGGGGCAGGGGCTCAGCTACGTGGTTGTGGGGTGCTAAGGCGTTTTGGATTCAGGCACGTAGTTTCAGAAAGGGATTTCCGATTAAGGTTTAGTTGTGCTCTAGGGTTTAGGGTTGAGGGTATAGACATACTACTACATATAATGCTATTCAAATAATACTCATTTTCAAATATCAAACTTACGTACACAATAACTCAATGGGTACGAACAAGAATCGACCAGAAACTATTTTACATTCGTGCGCATTTGCGAGTGGGTTTAGGGTGATTTCAGATGAAGTTTGTGCATTGTATTGTTGAAGCCGCGCGTGGTGCGCATCCAGGCCCACTAGCCCCAAACAAACCCCAAACAAACTCGGATGGCCCTTAACACCCTCTGTAAGGTACTCCTAGATATCGTCCTCCTAAGCCCTAAACCCTAAACCCTAAACCCTCAGCCCAGTAAGGGAAAATATAATGTGCCCCCAAGGCCTACCGAGCAAGCCCCCATGACCTTGCGGCATTCTCCGCGGCCGGGCCTCTCAGCAGCTTTGTGCTGATAATGGCGTGATACCTCAAAGGCGGAAACTTGGGGGTTTAGGGTTTAGGGTTTAGGGTCTAGGGTTTAGGGTTTAGGGTTTAGGGTTTATATAAGGTTTGGGGGAGGCACCCTACACCGTAAAGTCGGGGGGGGGGTAGGGGGGGGCAGGGGGCGGGGCATGCTCCAAAAAGTCGCAGACCTTTACTGGCCAAGCTCCAAGAGTTAGTTCATCGACCCCAAGAAATACCTAGAGGGACCTCTATCCATCTATCTATCTATAAATATACATGTATATATGTATGTATAAATATAAATATATATATATATATATTTATTTACATTTATTTTTTATTTTTATTTATACAAACATATGTACATACCTTTTGAAAAATGGAACTGAATCCGATGAAGGTATCCTTCCCCTTTTCCAGGTTCAAACCCCGAATAAGTTCCAACCATCGAGCCCCAAGGTTCTGGTTGGGTTTTTACCAGAGCCAACAAACCGCAATAAACCCCCACCACACCCTACAGCTCTCACACCCTAAACATCTCAAATCCTCAGCCCCCAGAAGCCCTCAAACAACGAAGCCCTCAAATCCTAAAGCCCTCAAACCCTAAAACCCTCAACCCCCAAAACCTCAAACCCTCAAGCCCTCAAACCCTAAACTGTTTAAAGGCTAAAACCCCCCCAAGCCCCCAAACCCCAAACCCCTACAACCCTAAAGCCCTACAACCCTAAACATCTCAAACCCTAACTCCGACTGTAACCCCCCTTCAGACCCTAAAACCCCAAAACCCTAAACATCTCAAACCCTACAACCCCCAAAGCCCTAAGACTCCAAAGCCCTACATCTCTAAACCTCAAACCCCCCCTAAGACCCTAACACTCTACACCCCCAAGCCCCAAACCCCCTGAAGCTCTGGCTCTGCGAGGCTCCTGGACAGCAGCTTCAGCAACAAAGTTTCGGGTTTTTGTTGGCAGTTAGGGTTTTAAGGTTTATTGTTTAGTGTTTAGGACTGGGGTTTGAGGTTTGGGGCGCTAGTGGAGCTTTTGGCTGGTGTCTGCGGGGGGGGGGGGTTAGGGTTGGGGGCGGGGGGATTGTTTTGTTTGAGGGGCTTGGACGGATTGAGGGCTGGGGGGCTTGGGAGTCTTGACGTCTTGGTGCTTTTGGGTGTGGGGCTTTGCAGGCAAGGTCCAGGCAGCTTGGGAGGGCAGATGACTTGCCATCTCTTTCTAAACCCCCAAACCCCAAACCTTAAACCCCAAACCCCGAACCCCAAACCCCCAAACCCCCAAACCCCCAAACCCCCAAACCCCAAACCCCAAACCCTAAACCCTAACCCCTAAACCCAAACCCTAACCTTAAACCCTAGCCTAAACCCTACACCTCAAACTGCCCAGAAGGCCCTCAACATCACAGCCCGTCCCTGGCTCCTGTGGCCGACAAGTTTATCAGCCCAGAAGCAGTTTTCTCGGAGTCGCGCTGACTCGTAGTGCGGATGACAAACAATTCCTCGTGTAGGATGGCCATCTCGGGTTTAGGTTTAGGGTTGAGGGTTGATTCATGGAGATGCCAGCACAAAAGAAAATTGTTGGTTGCAGGCTGCTTGAAGCATGGCCTACGGAACAAGCTGCTGCATGCAGGCAGAGTGGCCCCTTTGTGCGTGTAGGCGCACCTTGAGAAACACGAGCCAGCTCCATGTGCAAAACGACAAGACTCAGTGGCTTTGACTGCTACTCCTGCGGCTCTTCAAGCATTGCCAGACTAGCAAGATCTACAGTAACGGCCACGGTTGCAGGCTGAAGGCTGAAGGTCCACGAGGGCCACGAGGGTCCCTGAAATCTGAGCCAAACAAAGTTTTCATGTTTGGGGTTCCTAGCAAGTAGGGTTTCGGGGTTTTGGAGCTTAGTAGGGTATCGCGGCCCAAGCAGCGAGAGCCGATGTGCCCATGCCGCCAACGATGATGTCCTCTGGGCGAGTATGGTTCCTTGCAAGCTGTCGAACTCTGAGCTGGGTCCCTAAACCCTAAACCCTAAACCCTAAACCCTAAACCCTAAACCCTAAACCCTAAACCCTAAACCCTAAACCCTAAACCTAAGCACGAAACCCCTAAACGCTGCCTTTATGGCACATTCTCATCTTGCAAGCTCTTTCGAGATGGATTCTTCGTAGGTATACGGCCCACACACAAGAAGACCCTGAGCCGTTGATGCTAGCATCTTGTGACGCTATAAGTCGTACACTCGTTGCTGTGCGTGCCCGATGTTCGTTAAATTGTGGTAGGGTGTAGGGTTTATGCTCATGCCAAGCTGCCGTAGCCACGACATGACCCGGTCTTGTTCCTCCTGACAAGTTGGGCTCAGCATGTATAGTAAACCCCAGAGAAAGTCGGAACATCATTCTCCTAATACCCTTAAAACTTAAAGGTGCAGTATAGGGAAGCCCAGCACGATAAATCCTTCCAACTTTCTGGAGCTCACTATACTATACCTGCAGGGAGGGGCTCATAAGGTCCACCCCCCAGATCTCAGTGCTCACAACTTGGGATGCTCCCCCCCTTTGACGAACAGTCCTGACAAGGGATTTTCATACCCACTATTCTCAAGGACTGTTCGTATAGGGGGGGGACCTCCCTCCTCACAACTTTCTCCGGGGCCCATTCCCCCCACCCACCCCCCCTTCCCACGCATGGCATTCAGGGCCTTGGCCTCGTCCCTGCTGTGCATCTGGCGGCCTGACCCAGGCAACCCGAAACCCCAAGCCCTAAACCCTAAACCCTGTGGGACCCCCAGGGTCTGAACCCCCTGAAAACCCCTGCTGGCTGGTTCTGAGTAGGGAACGTGGGAATGAGGTACCCTATAATACTCCCTTCAAGGGTGTGTATATATATATATATAGGACCCCTATATATATATATATATATATTTTTTTTTTCTTTATATATATATATATATACTCCCTTCAAGCATATCTATAGGTACGAAGAACCAGGGCCCCTAGAGGCCCGAATCGCGCCTTCACCCCAGGCTCCGGCAAGACCGCGCGCCTCCGCCAGGGCCAGCAGGGCCACCACCTCATCGGCTTTCAACGGCTCAAAGCTCCGGAGGGAGGTGTAGGGTTTAGGGTTTAGGGTTTAGGGTTTAGGCTTAGAATTTATGGCTCAAGAGGGCCAGGTTTTTAACATAAGCCTTGTGGTTTAGGGATGGGCCCCAAAGGGCTTGAAGGGGGTTGTTCAGGGTCTTCGATGGAGTCGTAGGGCTGTGGGGAGCCAAAGGGACCTTTTGTGGGGTTGGGGATGTGCTGATTGAGGCATTCAGGGAAAGTTTAGGGAAGTAGGGGATTTAGAAGTTGTGAGGTGTTTTTGGAAATTCCAGAGATTACGGGGGGGCATTCTATATGTGTCAAGCAAGGAGCGAGCGGCCGCCGCGCGCGCCCCAGAGGTAGAGGAATCTCGGCCAGAGCGGCGCCCGCCCTGAATTGAAGGTTCATGGGAAGTGGAAAAGCTACAGGTTCTTGATGGGGAATGAGGCAAGTAGGTATCCTATAGAATCACTAAAAGGGTATACATAGGGGGATGGGAGGTGAACAAAGTTTCAGGGCTGTACTATAACCAGCTTTTTCTACAGCTGCCTTACTTGTAAACCCTACAACTGCTCACGAGCTTCAACTAGGGGACTGCAACATTGGGTAGCAACCAGCCGCTCCTCTGCTTTGTGCACTGCGCGTAGAACAAAAAACCTTTCCTCGTTTTCAGCCCGGAGGCAGAACCAAGTGGGGGAAGAAGAGCATACCTTTGCCATACTGCTTCACTCAAAGAGCCGTGTGAAGGCAGCCAAGGCAGCTGGATTCTCGGCGCCGGCAAAACAACACACAGACAAAGCTTGCACTCTGTGCCACGCCGCGGTATCGCATCATGATGAAGTAGAGGGGGCCAGTGACTAGCCCAAGGAACAACCTCAAGGATCCGAAAGAGAACTTTGCCACACAGCACCCCAGAGCCCAAAGCCCTAAACCCCAGAGACCTAAAAACCTGACATAGGGGCCTTAATGGTTTCAATTATATATATATATATATGTATGTATGTATATATATATACATATATATATATATATATATTTTTTTTTTTTTTTTGGGGGGGGGGGGGGTGTTGTTAGTAGTATCCCTATATAGGGACCCTAAGGGAATGCTACTAGTACTTGTTCCGACCCCCTACATTCAGCCACAAGCTCTCATCACGGCAAGCCCTGCTCATGGATGCCATCAAGCTGCCGCAGGGCAGCGGAAAAGTCCGAGTGCTTGGAGCTCAGCAAACCAAGGAGGCCTGCAAGAGCCCCCTTTTCTAACAGTCCTTAATAGGGATTATAATCGAGGAACATCCCAACTGGTAGATTTCAAGAACTAGGACCTCCCTAGATGCCCCCAAACACACGATAATCCCTGTTTACAAGGACCCCGGCCCCCCTCTCCCAAAAAACAAGAAAGCCACTCTGAATGGGTATCCCTCAGAATACCCCGACTCATTTCCCCGCAAAGAAGACCACTGGACTCCTTGCTATATAGCAGCCCCCAAAAGGGGGAATCCCCCTAAACCCTAAACCCTAAACCCTAAACCCTAAACCCTGAACCCTAAACCCTAAACCCTAACACCCCACATGCAGCCTGCGCCAGCAGCACCCGCCGCAAACAGCGGCTTCGGGAGCTCCTTTCCATGATGCGGAGAAGAGGGGCTTCGGGGGGTTTCTCGGGTTTAGGGTTTAGGGCTAGGGTTTAGGGCTAGGGTTTTGGGTCCTGGAGCGACGGTGAGCTGAAGCTCCGCTGGCCGGCGTAGAGGGATGCCTCAGAGAGCCATCTTCGGACCCCCCAGAATTTGCCAGAGATAGAATGTCAACCTTGCAGGGTTTAGGGTTTAGGGTTTTTGGGTTTTAGGGAGCCCAGCAAACATGCAGGGTTCAGAATTTTTAGGGCTTCAAGGGTTTCAAGAGTTGCAAGGATTTATGGTTTAGGGTTGAGGCTTGCTTACACCCAACAAGGGGACGTAAGGCCCTACCTAGCCCGCGTTGGGTCTTCCCAATGCTAAACCCCAAGCCCTAATACCCTAAACCCTAAACCCTATAACCCCAGATTCCATTGAGCATCGCTGCGTGGTAGTCCAGCTTTGCCGGCGCATCCACAACACTGGGGAACAACTGGTGCATCGGCCCCTGGCTGGTTTCAGTTGGGGATTTAGGAACCCCAAACCCCAAAACCCAAAACCCCAAACCCAAAACCCCAAACCCTAATCCCTAAACCACCCTGAACCCTAAACCCTAAACCCTAATCCCCAAACCGCCCTGAGCCCTTAACCCTCCCCGTATGGAATGCTTGGGTCGGGCTGCCTGATTTTGGGGTTTAGGGCTTCTTCGGGCTCAAAACGTTGTGGGCTAAACCCCAAGAAAGAAATCCTGGAACCGTAGAGTCCTAACGCCCTAAAGCCCTATAAGCCCAAACCCAATTGCTAATCCTAAGCCACTCCGGGACTAAAACCTCTGAAGGAGTGCTTGCGTCTTCTGTTCTTGTATGCAAATTCTGTTCCTAAGCGCTTCGCCAAAAGAGCAGTACAGCTAACTTAACCCGAAACCCTAAACCCTAAAGCCTCTGTAAAGCCTAAAGCCGAAATCCCCTGAATCGCGGTTTGGTGGTTACATTTCCGCTTGATACGGTCTCATTCAACTCCCCTCCGCCCTCCCGCTAAAATCTCTCAGACCCCAAACGCTCTCCCCGCCAAGGAAGTAAGTTGGCCTGAAGTCGGAAGTGCAGGAAGTTCTGGATGTGCGCATCATCCTGCCAGAGCTTCGTGCTTTTAGGGCTTCGGGTCCTTGAGACCTGGTTGAGCCCGATAGGCAACCTAGAGCATACCCGTAAAAGCAGGAAAAGTACCGTAACTCTTGGGGTCCATCTCCCTTCTAGACCCAAGGAGCAACCTAGGAATAAAAGGGTACCCCTTTTGGTTTTAAGGGGATTGCGAACCCCAACCCCTAAAAAATGGAAAAGAGGGCCTACTCCGGGTCCTAGTCTTTTGTGTGTGTACCCTAAACCCTAAACCCTAAGCCCTAAGCCCTAAGCCCTAAGCCCTAAGCCCTAAACCCTAAACCCTAAACCCTAAACCCTAAACCCTAAACCCTAAACCCAACTCCTCTGTGGAGGGCAGCGTGAGCCGTAGCAGCGCGGCAATGGCGAACCATGACCTCAAGTCTGGGAACTTCGAGGCCTACTTAGAGGATCATGGGACTTAGTAAGAAGGGTTATAAGTACCCTAATTTGGGGTCAGAAGGAATTGTAGCTATAGTTGCCCTAACTATAACCCTACTTAGTAAGTCCCCTGATCCTCTAAGTACACCGTGCAGGTTGGGCTTCCCCCCTCACCCCCCCCCCCCGCCAAAAAAAGGGGACCAGTCTGGGTACTTTGAGGAGGGACTCTATAGAATAGAGGGAACATAGGATCATGGAACGCCTAAACCCTGCACCCGAAACTCTAAGCCCTAATCCATAAACCCTAAGCCCTGAACCCCAATGTCCAATCAGGCCACAGGAGGCCAGTGAGCAGTCGCCGCCATGGCCTGCGCGTGCGGAGGAACCAGCAGACGATGGCCGAGGCGGCGGAGATGCAGAACAAGGGGGACCTGACGATTAGGGTTTAGGGCTTCGGGGTTATAGGGCTTAGGGCTTAGGGCTTCACGAAATGCGGTAAACTCCAGAAAGTTGGAACATGGTTTAAGGCTGATTGGAGCTGGGATTCCCTTTAGTGCACCTTTCGGGGTGCGTGGAAAGGCTGTTCCATTTGGAGTTTACTGTCGGGTTCGAGTCGAGCGGGGTGTATTGCTCAGGGTTCTAGTGGTGTTTTGCTGTGCTTAGGGTTCAGGGTTCAGGGTTCAGGGTTTAGGATTTAGGATTTAGGGTGCAGGGTTTCGGCCGTAGAGTTTAGGGTTGAGGGTTCTAGGAGCTTGCTGTTGTCTGGCTGTGAAAACTTCTTTGCAGGACTTTCTTGGACTGGAGGATGTTTGGAGTGAGTAATCCCTAAGGATCCGTTTACCTACATCGTGTATACTTGGGCCTTAAAGGGATTCCTATGTATTAGCTTTTGGGCCCAAGTATATACTGTATAGGTACATGGATCTTTAATGGATTGAGGGTGGGTTTTTACAGAGCGTTGCAGGCTGTGGCGGGACTTGACAGCACTTTTAATCGGTGCCGTGGGGTTGCTGGAGTTTGCTGGCTTGCAGGGCTTATGAGGGCTTCTTTGGGGTGTATAGAGCTTTTGGCCCTGATAGGGTTTATGCACATATATATATATATATATACATATATGTATGGGCTCATGGGGCTTAGGGTTCGTGCGACTTGCACGTTTAGGGTTGGGTTTCAGGGTGTAGGGTTTAGAGGGTTTGGGGTTTCGGGCTTGTGAGATTTTGACGTTACAGGGCCTATCTAGCACATGGGATGTAGGGTTCGTAGGGCTTCGGGACTATTCCGCGGGGCTTTGAGATTTGCAACCCGGCAAACGCCACATTCGCTCCAACCAGCCGGCCTGATCACCCACGGATCGCCGAAGCGAAGGCAGGAGCTGAGCAGGATCGACCACCTGGACGCTTTTAAGATTTCGGGCCAAGGGGGGGGGGTCTTATGGTCCAAGAATAAACCAACATACCCCAAACTTATACCCCTTCACCTATAAGAGGACAGTATAAGAGGGCAGACTTACCATACCCCTTAACTTCTTTGTCAGGCTATGCCCATGGGGTATGTTCAGTATTTCGATAGGGGCTTAGGGCCTAGCAGGCTTAGCATCCGGCTGGGGGCAAGTATCAGACAACGAATCCTCGGCCGATGGCCAGCACATGCAAGCGTTCCTTTTCTAGGGCTTAGGGTTTAGGGCTAAGGTTTTAGGGTTTAGGGTGCATGACAAGCCACACGTACAGCTGCGACACCGTTGCCAGAAATCCAGCCGAGGTCAGTTGCAGCAGGGCCATCGCATGGAGAGCACCCGCCTGCCGGCCCAACACAGCCAAGCTAAGTCTTAAACCTCCTTGGTAGCCCAGCAACCATATCACAATAAGGGCACCCCTTTTGGGGTTGCTTACTTTATAAGGGAACGTTGAACCAAAAACAGTGAAAGGGGTACCACACTGGATTACCAAGCCTCTATCCCCAAGGGCCCATACTTCAGAACCCTTTGCAGAAAGCAAGGCGCCATGTAGCTATCCCACAAACCCCAAACTAATGGGAGGCCGGGCCTGCAGCAAGAGCGCGAAGCAAGAGAACTGCCAGAGCAGTAGAAATGCCGTGAGGCTCAGCAGGAGGGGAAGCTTGTCGCCCAGCGTGACCTCGTCAAGCCAAGGAAAATAACATATTCGGATCCCCCTGAACCCTAAACCCTAAACCCTAAAGATCCATGTACCTATGTGGTATATACTTGCCCCTTAAAGGGGCTCCGATATACCCCGGAACTAAACCCTAAAGTAGTAGGGGCCAAGTATATACTGCATAGGTACACATGGATCCTTACAGTCATGGGCCTTTTCGAGGTTAGAGGCTTTGGGACTCAGGGAGTCCCCCCTTACTGTTTAAGCAATATTGCCCTCTTAGAGAAGCTCAGCGCAAGCCGGACTACTGCTGCTTCCGGTCTAGGGGTTCAGAGAGTCGAGTTAAGCGTGAGACTGGACTTGCGGATGCCGAGACCGGAAACTTAGCCTCAACTGCTCATGCCGAGCGGGTGATGTTGGGATGAAAACGAAGCTCGGACAAATATGCAACTCCCATCAGGTCCTCTAAATCCTCAACCTCACCCTGAACCCTAAACCCTATATAAAACCTGAACCGTAAACCTCAGGATTTAGCTACTGGTAGCACATCCCTCTGACACCGGCAGCAAGACCAGCTGCATGCGCAGTCGAGTTGCGGCTCTCCTCTGGTGCCGTTGATGCAGGTCCTGTACAGGTTCAGGGTTTGGGGTTTGCGGGCTTTTAGGGTTTACGAGAGGACAACGTCACGCAACCGTATGACTTCACTGACTCCATTTCGAGCATCGAGGCACTCTCGCGCATCCTGACATCAAGATCATTCAGTCATCTTGGGGCGGTTACAAGGGCCCTGTATTTGGGAGCCCTGTTACACAATCATCCCTTTTATCCCACATGCAACCCAAGGGCCCATTCGTCTGAAGCCACCCACCCTGACAAACTTCCCTAAGCCATCCTAAACCCTAAACCCTAAACCCTAAACCCCAAACCCCTAAACCCCTAAACCCTTAAACCCCTAAACCCCTAAACCCCTAAACCCCTAAACCCCTAAACCCCTAAACCCCTAAACCCCTAAACCCCTAAACCCTAAATCCAGCTCCTGCAGCGCCGCACAACTTGCAAACCACAGCGGCATGGCGAAGTTCTCGCGCAGCGGAGGCATGAAGGACACGTGGCTGCACTCCTGAAGGCGTAATGGGCCGTTTAGGGTTTAGGGTTTAGGGTTTAGGGTTTAGGGTTTAGGGTTTAGGGTTTAGGGTTTAGGGTTTAGGGTTTAGGGTTTAGGGTTTAGGGTTTAGGGTTTAGGGTTTCGGGGCCTTAATGATTAGAATAAGGTATTAGGGGGGGGGGGGGAATTAGTTCGTAATATAGGGGCCTGAATGAGTAGAATTTTAGGCAATTTAGGGATACTTAAGGCAAATTCAAGTTAGTGAACGGGGGGGGAACCTAGGGGGGTTAGTGGAGAGGGGGTTAATATAGGCCTGAATAATGAGAATAATTAGAATAAGGTGTTGGGGGGGGTAGAATAACGCACCAAAAAGGGACCATAAGGGAATGGAACCATAAGGGAATACTAGTAGTAATTATTCCGACCCCTAAAGTGTAGGCATTTCGGCTGTTGGGGTTTAGGACTTCACGGGTCCTTACCAGTGGCACTCGCCTGTTTGGGGCTCTGTGAAAATCATGGACCCTGTTTTGGGTAGGCTACAGACAAGCAGAACACACCACAACAGAGTCCCCAAAGGCCTGAAGGTGAGCCACGCAATCAAGGCACGCCCGTTGAACACTAGGGGTTGCACTCGGGGTAGACGTCTCAAGCTATATGCAATAATTCTCACTTTCGGGACCTTTGCAAGAATGAACCCTAAACTCTAAACCCTAAACCCTGAACTCTAACTTTAAAGAGCCCCTGAACCCAAGGGCCTGCAAGCAGCTGATGTACAAGGCGGCAGCCAAGAGCGCCGCGTCAATGCTTCCGGCCATCCAGAGGAGGGCGAACACTCCGCCGCCATACCTCAGGCTTCTCAAAAAAGACAGGGTTTAGGGTTTAGGGTGTAGGGTTTAGGGTGAGCCGGGAGCAACCTAGGAACAAAACGGGTGCCCTTTTTGGTTTTAAGGGGATTATAAGGGAACCCCAAACCCTAAAGAAGGCAAAAAGGGTCTACTAGGATGGACATTAAAACCCAAAATGAAAAAAGTATTCCTGAATACAATCCTCTTAAACCATATGAGGGAAAATAGAGGCTATGTCCCAAGGGCCTAGTTATGGGCTTTAGGGTTCGGGGGTGCGCCTTTATCATATGGAGAGTCCCAAGGGGGGATGTCCTCCTATATCGAAATGGTCCACGCAGCAACCCCAAACCCCAAACCCCAAACCCTAAACCTTAAACCCTAAAACCCCAAGCCCTAAAACCTAAATTGCCAATCAGGCAGAGGGCAGTACGTACACCCCGCAGCAGTAGAAGGTAGCAGCAGACGGAAGACTGCCGGTCACGGACTGGAGGCCTTCCACAATGTGGTGGGGTTGAGGGTTCAGGGTTTTGAATGGGATTAGCCATGAAACGGAGAGCTCTTGGGGCTTAGGATTCGTGTGGTAGATGCTTGAAGAAACCACTATTTGCTTAAGAACCCAAAAAAAAATGAACCATCCCCATATTACCCTGACAAGGAAGAATCGTTTTTATTTTTATTTTTTTTTTTTTTGGGGGGGGGGGGGTTCTTGAGCAATTCGTAGGAAAGAAGCTGCGCAGTGTCAACTCATACCTCCTCTGCACTAGGGCAGCGCGGGAAAGTACTTGTGGGGGTCGGAAGAAATACTAATAATATTCCCATACTATTCCCTTATAGTCTCTATATAACTATACTACAATAACCGCCAGAACTCTATTCTAATTATGAAGGCCCCTCAAGTATTCAAGTTTTTTGGGAAATCCAGCTCGGTTCCGCTTGAGACCTGAAAGCATAAGCCCTGAACCCTAACCCCTATAAACACTAAACCATACCTGGGACCCTACTTACCCACAGGTTAGTAGCAACTACCCTTAACTAGTAGGTCTAACCCAGAAAACTGTAGGTAAAGATGGTCCCAGGTAGATCCTAAACCCTGGGATGTTCCCCCTTACACTAACAGTCCTTAATAGGATTTTTATGCGGGGTGCTTTAATCCCGATTAAGGACTGTTAGTATAAGGGGGAACGTTCCAACCTAAACCCTAAACCCTAAACCCTAAACCCTACACCCTAAACTCTAAACCCTAAATCCTAAACCCTAAACCCTAAACCCTAAACCCTAAACCCTAAACCCCAACCCTAAACCCTAACCCTAAACCTTAAACCCCAAAACCCTAAACCCTAAACCCTGACCGCAACACCGCGGCCAGGCCTTGGTACAGCAGCGCCAAGCCTCGGACAGATGGGGTTTTAGGGTTTAGGGTTTAGGGTTTGGGGTTTGGGGTTTGGGGTTTAGGGTTTGGGGTTTGGAGGGGGTAGAAGCCCCCATACAGCCACAGACCTGTACCCCAACTGATTATTTCTCAAAATCGGGGCCCTTTGTTATGCACTAAGTATGAAAAACAAAAAGGAAAAGGAATGAAGGACAGATCTGTTGAGGCAGGAAGCTCACCTCTTGGTAGATGTTGAACCGGTGCCTGAGAAGCTCATGTGCTTAAGGGTTTGGGCAACCACTCCCTGCACCCTGTAACACTTTAAAGCCCTAAACCCTCCCCAAAAATAAAACGCCTTGGCTCTCTTTTTTGGCCCTGGGTAGGTAGTTTTCAAAAGAAACCGAAGACCCTCCAAACTAAGGGATACAGGGTTTCGGGTTTAGGGGTTTAGGGCTACTAACCCTAGGTTTAGGGTTTAGGGCTACGAACCCTTGGTTTAGGGCTACCAAACCCCAAACCGGAGGGCAAGCTGCAGCGCGTTGATGGTGTCCGGTGCCTGGCCGCGTAGGGTTTCGCGTTTGGGGTTGAGTACTGAGGCCACATGAACCCCAGTTAGGGTTGAGGGTTTAGGGTTGAGGGTTTGGGGTTTGGGGTTCAGGGTTCAGGGTTTAGGGTTTAGGGTTTAGGGTTTCGGGTTTCGGGTTTAGGGTTTAGGGGCTAGGGTTTAGGGTCTAGGGTTTAGGGGCTTCGGGCTGCTTGGGCTTAGGGTTCTCAGGGCTCGGTAGGATTTAGGGATTCCATATGGCTTGGGGCTCAGTAGGATTTAGGGCTTCTGTGGCTTAGGATTTCGCGTTTAGGGTCTGGATGCGTGCCACGAAATCATCCTACGGATGTGTTCAGATCTTGCATCCTCAAGAGACACCTACTTGCCCTTCAGAAAAAGGAAACGCGTGCCTTTTCAAACCATTCAGTAGATTTCACCCAATTGGGCTCGGAAAAAAACACGTTCTTTGAAGCTCCGAAGACCGTGATTCGCCGAAGCTACTTAAGAGTCAAGGGTCCGCAGCTAACTTGAGGTTTAGGGCTTTTTAGGGTTTAGGGTTTAGGGTGCAGGGATTGGGGTTTAGGGTCTAGGGTATGTCTCCAGGCATAGCCGGCATGAACCAGACCTCTTGCCCTTGCCAAAACTCCTTCCAATCCCTGTCCCCAAAACCCTAAACCCCCCAAACCAGCCTCTAAGCTTTACACTGTAAACACCCCCCCCCCTCCCCCCCCCCCTCCCCCCCTCCCCCCCCCCTCCCCCCCCCCCCCCCACCCCACTCCCTCCCCCCCCCCTCCAACTCCCCCCTCCCCCCCGCCCCCCCCCCTCCCCCCCCCCCGCTCCCCCCCCCCCCTCCCCTCCCCCCCCCCCCTCCCCCCCCTCCTCCCCCCCCCCTCCCCCCCCCTCCCCCCCCCCCCCCCCCCAAAAAAAAGGAGAAGCTACCCTCCTTTCCCCCTTTGGAGAAAAACGCCCAAGGTCGAAAGAACTCCCTGAACTCCTACATCCCCGAACCATAATCCTAAAAACCTAGACCCTACACCCCTGAAGCATGAACCCCAATCAACCCTCTTCGGCCCGCAGCGTTTCGAAAAAAACTCATAACGCCTCCCTTCCCCCAAAAAAAACGCTAACAAAGAAAGAAATACGTAGCGCAGTGCAACTAATAGTAGCAACAGTCACACTTCGAACCCCACATCCTGTAGGGTTTAGGGTTTAGGGTTTAGGGTTCTCAACCCTCAACCCTTAACCCTAAGGTTTACGGTACCCTTAAACCTGAACCCTGAAGCCTAAACCCTAAACCCTGAACCCTAAACCCTACAGCTCGAAACTCGAAACACTAGCCCGAAACCCTTAACCCTATAAGGTTTAGGGCACCCTTAACCCTGAATCCTGAACTCTAAAACCAAACCCTAAACCCTGAACCCTAAACCCTGAACCCTAAACCCTGAACCCTAAACCCTGAACCCTAAGCCCTAAACCTAAACCCTTAAATTAAATCCAAGTTTGTTGCAGGCGTGCCTCGCTCAGCCTGTCAGCCAGGAGACTCTCCGATGAATCCAAGATTTGCCTCACAGTCCAGGTGCTTAGGGTTTAGGGTTTAGGGTTTGGGGTTTAGGGTTTAGGGTTTGGGGTTTGGGGTTTGGGGTTTAGGGTTTAATTGGGGCCTGGGGTTGAGGGTTTAGGGTTCAGGGTGTGGGGTTTAGGGTTTTATGGTTTTAGGGTTTGGGGTTTAGGACTTTTGGCGGGGGGGGGGGGGGGGGTGTTGGATTTGGGATTCGGGGTTTAGGGGTTTAGGGTGTACCGGTTAGGGTTGGGGCTAAGGGTTTCGGGCCCCCGGCCCAAGCAAGCCACAGAAATGCTTTCCTTGGCCGCCAGAAACCCGAAGCCCCTCACATCCTAAACTTTCCTAAGGCCTCGGGTTTAGGGTTTAGGGTTTAGGGTAAAGGTTTTCGGGTTTAGGGTTTAGGGTTTAGGGTTGGCCGAGAAATTCACTTTGGGGGGGGGGGGGGGAGGGGGTGCTCTCCGGCCGGACTTGAACGAGATGCATGCATCAGGAACTTCAACTTACTGAGTTTAGCCCTTTAAAGCCCCCCTCCCCGGTCTAGGGTTTAGGGTTTAGGGTTGAGGGTTTAGGGTAAATCGACCCAGAACCCCAGCTACATCGATCGATCCTCGGGGGGGCTTCTTCCACTCTCGCTGCAGTTGGTTTAGGGGTTGAGGTTTAGGGTTTAGGGTTTCGGGTTTAGGGTTAGGGTGTATAAGGTAGAGGGATGTTTTGGGGTGTTTCGCCTGAGGAAAAAGACTTCTTCTTGATGTAAAGCAGGAACCTAGGCGAAGGTTGGAGGTACGATGGCTGTGCCCCACGAGCAACAGCCAAACGCATTAATGTGCCCTCGGCACTGCACTCATCAACAAGATGTTAGGTAGCCCACTACTATTTGCTTAAGAGCCCCAAGAAAGAAAAAGGATATTCATTCCTATTTTGCCCTTATAAGGAAGAATATGATTGAGTTTGTTGGGGGTTCTTAAGGGCAAATAGTAGCCATGGTATGCAGTGGGTACCCCTTTTTTGCTGGCGAGTGTACAAAGGAGCCCAGAAGCAGAAAGTGAGATTTGGGTGCCACAGGGCTTCCCCCCCCACCCCCAAACCCGAAACCCATTCGCCTGTAAAACGAATAGTAGAAAGCATTCTCCGAGCCGAACCAGGCCGACACCTGACATCTGCTGAGGGTTTAGGGTCTCCGGTTTAGGGTGTAGGGACGTTGCTTTCCTGCCTCTTAGGCTCTTGGGAGAAGCACGAGCGCGACGCCCACCAGGAGAGAACAGAAGCTGTCCAAAACAAAATATCTTTTGCTCAGCCTTCCTGGCAAAGACCAATCTCAACGAGGTCCCGTACAACCTTGCAACTCCCGCCCCCCCAAACAAGGACCTAATTCAGAGCAACCCCAGGTCGGGCTGCTCTACTCGATGGAGAATGATCAGACACTGCAAGACAGCACTGAGCAGCATGCCAGGGTTTCGAAGTTAGGTTTCGGGCCCCTGTGGTACATGCACAATCAAGCACAGTCCAACTGCCGCACAGTCGTTGAGTCCATTGCAGGCGTGTTTGCTGAGTCGCGGCTACTTCTGAACCCTACGTCCGAGGCCCTAGATGCTGACCTCAAAGCCCAACTACACCCACTTGGGGCTTCCCGAAATTGTGGGTGCCTTATTGGGGTCCTTATTATCAGGGAATCCTACTTTTTGGGGGACTGTTGTATATACACATATATATATATATTATGTTTATATATTCGGGGTCCCTTATCGTAAAACCCCGCTTCGCTTACCTCTCCATGACAGGCAGGGCGCGTCGTGCGACGGCTGCCGCGCGAAGAAGATCACTGCCGCACCTCCGCACCGCGCGCACGGGCGGTTGGTATGGCTTGGGATGTTTCCCCCTAAATACTAAGAGTCCTTTAGTTGGGGTTATAAATAGGGGGGTACTATAATCCCCTACTGAGGACTCTTAGTACAACTTTATAGGGATTATTATAGGGGTACTAAAATCCCTAGTTACTAAGGACTCTTAGTATAAGGGGTGAACATCCCAATGTACCGCAGCAAAGAAGCCAACACAGCCTGCATCAGCCTGCCCAGAGACTCCAAAACCCCTTAATAAAGGAATATACCTTAAATCATCTTAGGGTTCCTATTATAATTTAAGGTATATTCCTTAAGTAAGGGATATACCTTAAATCATATGGGGGTTCCTATTATAATTTAAGGTATACTCCTTAATTAAGGGGTTTTGGAGTCTCTGGGTGTACTTGCTGTCAGAGGGCGTCCAGCGATCCAGGTGGACAAGAGCAAGACGACCGGGAGTCGGCCTCCCTGCAGGGTTTAGGGTTTAGGGTTTAGGGTTTAGGGTTTAGGGTTTAGGGTTTAGGGTTTAGGGTTTAGGGTTTAGGAGGACATGGCATCCAGCCCGCATGTACTTACTGCTATCACAACTGCATCTTACCCTAAGGTTCATGTACCGAAATAGGGAATAAGGGAATAATTGGGCCTCCTATATAAGGACTTGGGGCCTAAGTATAGAATAATGAGGTACATGGACCCTTAGGGTTAGTGGGGACACATTCATTTTTGGAAGCTCGGCTCTCTACACAAGGGTTGCATGGGGACATCGGGTCGCTAAACCTCTTATTGCTGGTCAGAAATAGTCAACTAGCTGGCTCACAAAATAGGGGTATCCCTTCTATACCCCCAGAATAGACTTGAATCCGCTTCTGGAGGCCCCCAAAAAGGGTACCCCTATTTTCGGAAACTCCGAGCTTAAGCCCTCGGAACCTCGACAGGCTTGGCATCGGCATTCTCGACAAGCTCGGGCGAAATAGTTCCTCTAGCCTCTGTACAGAGGCTTAGGGTTTAGGGTTAAGGGTTTAGGGTTTTAGGGTTTAGGGTTTTCGGGTTTCCATCCTTAAGCCACGAGCCCTCCCGCCATTCCTGTCTAAGAGTCGAGCGGCAGCTGCCGGCTGAGGATTCTGATCCTCCTCCTTGGGCATGCACCTTCACACCTGGCGCTTGAAGATACCAGCCAGCTCTGAGAGACTCTCTTGCCTGCATTACAGTAATCTGCACGGCACGGTCAGCGAATAGTCGGTCTTAAGGCATGGCAGCCGCACGCTGATGGCACGCTGGCCATCTCATTCAGAGGCAAACAGCTACTTGAAACCCTAAGCCGGCACGCCTGAGAGAAGACGAAGGGCTGCGAACTCGGAGGGCATGACTCAGGGTTTAAGGTATTAGGGTGCGACGGATTCCTTCAGATTCAGATGGAAGAGAGGTATCTAGGAAGCTAAGAGATATCAAGAGTAGTTTTTAAGCCTATTCAAGTGTACCTCATAATCCTAAACCCTAAACCCTAAACCCTAAATCTAGGGATATGGCCGGATTCACAGAGAGTAGGGCCTTAAGGCGTGCTGCTGAGCCGAACATAGCGATGGTTGAGAGCGTGGGGTTGAGGGTTGCAAGGGGCTTTCAAAGCTGCATTTTTGTTTCATGGGTTTAGGGTTTAGGGCTTTTCGGTTTAGGGTTTAGGGTTAGGGTTTAGGGTTTAGGGTTTAGGGTTTAGGGTTTAGGGTTTAGGGTTTAGGGTTTAGGGTTTAGGGTTTAGGGTTAGGGTTTAGGGTGTACGGTTTAAGATTTAGGGTTTTTAGGGCTTAGGGGAGATTTGGCTCTTGGGCTTAGGGTGCCGTTGGTTGTTTGGGGCGCAAAAAAAATCGGGGCACCGTGCTTTGAACTACATGTCCGTGTCCGGGAAACTTGTGTTAAGTTCCTGGACAGCAACTCTGCCAAGGGTCCAAGGAACTTTTCGCTGTCTACATCGCGCTATGTGTGAGCGCGATAACAAAACTGGCTTCGGCGGTTTCGGGTTTGGGGCTGAGGGTTTAGACGCCCTGGACGCAAAAGGGGCTTCAGGGGTTGTGACTTAGGGCCCTGCACCCTGCCATACGCCTCAAACAATCGTGTGTGAACCCGAAGCGCACAACGGCGGGTTAGGGTGGAGTTTGAGGGCTTCACCATGTACGGTTTAGGAGCAGCTGAGTAGCTGGGAGATCACACCAATTCACACCAGCACAAGCCGACAGAACCCTGCAGAATGGACCTAGCCCGACGACCCCAACCTCGAATCTTACCTTGAAGCGCCCCAAAACCCTAAACCATAAACCCCAAACCCTAAACCCCAAACTCCAAACCCCAAACCCTAAACTCTAAACCCCAAACCCTAAACCCTTGCCCCCAAATCCTGGAAGTCTGTGAGTTGAATTCAGTTTGGCTTGCACTGTTGGCACCTTCCCGAACTTTAAAGTGATATGTCTGGCACCGCGTTTTATATTTGCATTTATATTCTTGATCTATTCATTATGTATTTATGTATTTCGAAAATATGAATATATATATATATATATATATACATATGTCTTCTATATATAATATGTTTAATCATATACCTGTCACCTAGAGCGAAGTCTACAGCAATCATGCTGCACATGCCAAAAGCCGGTGGTGCATCCGCGTTTTTGAGCACAGGGTCGGTTGTGGATGAAGCGTGCAACCCTAAACCCTAAACCCTAAACCCTGAACCCTGAACCCCGAACCCTGAACCCTGAACCCTAAACCCTAAACCCTAAACCCTAAACCCTAAACCCCTAAACCCTAAACCCTAAACCCAAACACGGCAAGATTTACTTTTATCCGTCGCAGGGGCTGCTCATCTCTCCTCGTCTTTGCCCTGCACAGGAGACATGCTTGAAGCTTCAATGGGCGCTTTAGGGTTTAGGGTTTAAAGTGTTGGGTTTAGGGTTTAAGGTTTAGGGTTTAGGGTTTAGGGTTTAGGGTTTAGGGTTTCGGGTTTAGGTTTCGGGTTTAGGGCTAGAGGCCCGCATAAGGACATAATGAGCTAACCTTGCTTCCCGCGACTTCAAGGATCAGTTCTGAGGACCCGCGAACTTCCGCAAGACAACCGGTGGTGTGCTGTCCTTTGTAGATACCGCATGCAGGAGAAAAAAAGGGTCTGCCACTCTTGGGAACCCTAAACCCTAAACCCTGAATTGGGAGGTGTTGTATGGGGAGGTCTCGCCTCGAGAGCTGCCATTCCTTCTTGGAAACATTTGAGGGTTTTTACGAGAATAAGGAACCCCCTAAGAAAGTAGGATTCCCTCATACAAGTAATAAGGATCCCCGAAGGTCGGAAACCCCCCATTCCCTGGAGGGACTCCCGGGTTTAGGGTGTAGGGCTGGGGGAAGGCTGGTTCTCCTGGATCCTGGCACCCCCAGCAAAGCTGCACATCAAAACATCAAAGCCCCTAAACCCAAAACCCAAAACCCGATCAGAACTCTGGGAGCTCAATCAACAACTCTCTATATAACCCTTAATCAGCCCTGAAACCTGTCAGCCCCCAACCCTCATCTTGGTGTTCGGGCATATGGTGTACGGCCTAGGGTTCAGGAATTGCGGGACTTAGATGTATGGTTTAGGGTGTAGGGTCAGTCCGATGCAGAGGAAGGACTTTAGGGAACATGTGCCCTGGCCTTTCCTTTCCCTTTCCGGCTGCGCTGCCGCTTCTTTCCCTACAGGCATGGAGAAACCCTCAACCGACCCTAAAGCCCAGTAGCCCCTAAACCCTGGTGAAGGGATTTCAGGTGAGGGTTTAGGGCTCCTTCGTTGAGAGGCCCTTAAGGGGGCGGGGTCTAAACGGAAGTGCCTGAGGGAACATTAGGGGAAGCTTGGGAATTGTTAGGCTTGCCCCCCGGGGAACCCCCCCTCCCTAAAGGGCACCCTAGCTACTCCCAGCCCTAAGCCGAAACCCCGCAACACCTTGGAACCCGATAGGTGCATTACCCCTCCCCTCCCCCTAAACCCTAAACCCTAAACCCTAAACCCTAAACCCTAAACCCTAAACCCCAAACCCTAAACCCTAGACCCTAGACCCTAAACCTTATAAACCCTAAACCCTAAACTCTAAACCCTATACCTGAACCCCAAACTCCCCGACGTCGAAAGCATCATCCCCTTGCTCTAAATCTTAAACCTTAAACCACACCTTTGCAGAACACCTGAACCCTAAACCCTAAACCCTAAATCCTAAACCCTAAACCCTAAACCCTAAACCCTAGCCCTAAACAGCCGAAATAAAATCAAACAAACCAACCTCCAGGCTCGCGCAAGCTCCCCTGCAGCCCTCGACCCTGGACCCTGAACCGGACCTTGCCACCTTTCTCGCCCTTCTCGCTCCACTTCTTCTCAGGCCTCAAGCTTCAGGGGTCCGGGGCTGCGGTGTAGGGCTTAGGGCTTAGGGTTTAGGGTTTGGGGTTTAGGGTTTAGGGTTTAGGGTTAAACAAACCTGAACCCCAGAAACCATAAACCCCTCTGCACTTGGCCGAGGATTTAATCAAATTGGTCATCAACAGCCGATGCTCAGGAGCCCCCACCAATGCCCCCTCCCTTGTGCTTCCACGAAGCCTTGCATCGTGCTGCTCGGACTGCCTCGGGACGTTTTCAGATCAGCTTAGGGTCCAGGGTTGAGGGTTTAGGGTTTCGGGTTGAGGGCTTAGGGTTTTCTACCACTCTTGGGTGAAGGTGCCCACCACCCTGCCACAGGGCGACAGACTAACAAACAATAACAAGTCTGGCTTCGACCATAGAAACTAACAATGATAACATTGATGGTAATCTAGGTTTTTGCTTAAAGGGGTTTATAGGAGAACCTAGAGCGCCCAAAAAAGAGAATAAGGGCACTATTGGGCATCCTAGCAGTAGCAATGATGGCAAAAACTGTAATTACCCTCGGTCTAGAGCCGTCTGGAGTGCCCTAAACCCCATCCTTGCTTACTCGCTCGGGGGTGGCAAGGAGACGTGTGGCCACGGCATGGCAACATATTCAACGAATCGTTGCTTGTGCATGAGAGTCGGGGGAAGGGGGTGGGAGCAATGAACTCCAAACAGCTCTCTGCCGTTTCCTCCCACTCCGGGATGGAATCCGCGAGGGGCATGGGCGAATTCCCCACAAACCCTAATGCCCCAAAATTGGAAGGACATCAGCGTCATGTGCTAAGATGACACAGGCCGCAGCTCCACCCTCGTAACCCGAAAAACACTTAGGCCTACGGAGCTCAACCTATGTACCCTTAAGAGAGAGTCTATCGTTTGGTTCAGCAGGACCAAAATCCTATTCTCAAAGGGCATTTAGGTTGCTCGAGGTAACCCGGTAGACCCCTGAACCCTAAAGCCTCGTAAGCGCGCCAAACCCTGAAAGAGTCAACTCCCTCACCCCTAAAACCCCAAACCCCCAAGCCCGAAAAAACCTCCCTAGACCCTGAACCCCAAAACCCCTGCACCTCGAACCCTAAACCCCCAAACCCGCAACCGTAAACCCTAAACCCTAAACCCTATAGACCCTAAACCCCAAGCGGGAAATCCTCCCCAGACCCTGGAAACCCTAAAACCCTACACCTCGAAATGGGATGACCCCTAAAACCTTCTGAAAAAAAAGTTCAGGGTTTAGGGTTTAGGGTTTAAGGTTTAGGGTTTAGGGTTTAGGGCTAGCCTCTTAAACCCAAAAACTAGGGAAGTACATCAAATGTCCCAAGGGCCTACCGAGGAACCCGAAACACGGCAGCTGACATCCGGGCCCCGCGCGGGGATGCCTCCAGCGCAAGGCCTCCGTTGCGTCTCGATGGGGTTTAGGGTTTAGGGTTTAGGGTTCAGGGTTTAGGGTTTAGGGTTTAGGCTTTACTGTAGGGTTTAGGGTTTAGGGTTTAGGGTTTAGGGTTTAGGATTTAGGGCTTAGGTTTTAGGGTTCAGGGTTCAGGGTCTATGGTGCAATCAGAGTCTCTGCCTCTGCCAGCAAGGTAGGGTCGGGAAGCTTCGGGTTGAGAGGGGCTCCTTCTATAGGGGAGTTGGTAGCAAGGGGCCCGGCAACCATGCTACAATCAGGTTGCCCCCCCCCCCATTTTTAAAGGAAGCCTACACCCTACTCCCGAAATTGGGAGAAAGCGCAAC